ACAGCAACAAAGGCAGCAGAAAGAGCAGCAGCAGCAGCAGCAGCAGCAGCAGCAGCAGCAGCAGCAGCAGCAGCAAGAGCAAGAACCGACTTGGTGCCTTCCTTCCATCCCTGAAGCAGCGCATCACACACAATACCCCTAAACCCTAAACCCTTAACCCTAAACCCTAGGCCCTAGACCCTGAAGCCTAAACCCTAAACCCTAAACCCTAAACGCTAAACCCTAGGCCCTAAACCCTAGGCTCTAGACCCTAAACCCTAAACCCTAAACCCTAGCCTCACCGCTTTCACGTCGACTGTAACTACATTGTCTTCTTTCACCGGATGGCCGTTGTGGAAGCTGCACACGCCATAAACCCTAAACCCTAAACCCTAAACCCTAAAACCCTAAGACCCTAATCCCTAAAACCCTAAGCCCTAAAACCAGAAAACGCTCAAACCCTAAACCCTAAACCCTTAACCCTAATATCCAAACCCCAATCGCTGAAGCCTGGGCCTCGACGCTACATCGTCGACTGGAATCCCTAAACCCTAAACCCTAAACCCTAACACTCCAAAGCCCTAAACCCTCCTAAACCCTAAACCCTAACCCTAAACCCTAAACCCTAAACCCTAAAACGTAGAATTTCAATTACCGTGTCCTTCCTATCTTCATCTTTTTTGTCGTTCCGCTGCAGCAGGCGCAGACGCAGACGCGCAGCAGCAGCAACGTAAACCCTAAACCCTAAACCCTAAACCCTACACCCCAAACCCTAAACCCCAAACCCTAAACCCTAAACCCTAAACCCTAATTTCGACTGGCTTACGTGTATAGCTCCTCCAGCGTGCAGACTAAGTCCCTTTCATATGCGCGAGGCTTGCTGCTGCTGCTGCTGCTGCTGCTCATGCCATGCATACTGCCGCAGCCTGCAGCAGCAGAACCGACGCAGCAGCGCCTCCCTTTACCGCAGCAGCAGCAGCAGCAGCAGCAACAGCAGCAACAACAGCAGAAGCAACACCAGCAGCAGCACCAACCACAGCAGCACAACACCAGCAGCAGCAGCAACCACAGCAGCACCAATAGCAGCAGCAACAGCAGCAGCAGCAGCAACAGCAGCAGCAGCAGCAACAGCAGCAGCAGCAGCAGCAGCAGCAGCAGCAGCAAAGTGCGTACGTCTGTTTCCCGCAGTAGCAAAGCGCATGCCAAAGGGACCACCAGCGCCGGCCATCCCGAAAATCTGCGGAGCACCCAAACCCTAAACCCTAAACCCTAAACCCTAAACCCTAAACCCTAAACCCTATAACCTAAACCCCGGTTTAAAGTCCCTTCGTCTTCAGAGAGGGTTTACGCATTGCATCGGTTGTCCCTACAACTACTACGTCAGGGGTTTGAAAGGCCTTATGCCACTCAGCTGAGGGTTTAGGGTTTAGGGTTTAGGGTTTAGAGCGTACAGAAGACATTGGGTCCTCCGGGGCCCCCACTGGGGGCCCCCCCACCGCCCTTCAAACCCTCCTCGCCGAATTTGTCATAGATCTGCATGAGCACACAACAAACCCTAAACCCTAAACCCTAAACCCTAAAACCCTAAAAACCCTAAACCCTAAATTAGGGTTTTGTTCCTGGTGTTTACCTGTCTTCTTTCTTTGTCGCTCAGGACATCGTACGCCTCCGCTATATCCTTAAATTGAGCTTCTGCCTGAAACCAAACAACATGAGGGTTTAGGGTTTAGGGTTTAGGGTTTAGGCTTCAATACCTTTATCTTTGTTTGAGGGTTTTCATGTTTATCAGGATGCCGTCTGATAGCAAATTTTTTCTCCAGTCTAACGAAACAAAAGCTAAATAAAACTAAATCTATTAAATAATATTTAATAATAATAAATAATAATAATAATTAATTATATTTAATTAAACTCTTTATACCTTCTTCTTCGCCTCAGGGTCTGCATGCTTATCCGGGTGCCACCGTATCGCTAATTTTCTGTACGCTTTCTTTAAATCCGCGTCCGAGGCATCGCGGCCTACACCGAGTATTCTATAATAATCCTGAATAATAAATAAATAAATAAATTAATTAATTAATTAATTAATTTATTTGTTTGTTTATTTGTTTATTTATTTGTTTATTTGTTTATTTGTTTGTTGCGGAGGCGTTTATGTATATATTATATATATTATTATACACTTAGTATTCTATAGTATTTAAATAAATAAGATAATTAATAATTAATTAATTAATTAATTATTAATTAATTAATTAATTAATTATTAATTATCTTATTTATTAAAATGTGCGGATACATCAATATATATATATATTACATATGTACAGCTATATATAATATTTTATATATACTGTTATATATAATATATATATTATATATAAGCAGTTATATATAATATTATGTATATATATATTTATACATACATATTGCATTATATATATTATATATATAAATTATATATATAATATACATCTAATATCATGCGATAATCTTGTAATGTAAATTTAATAAATAAATA